AACTGCTTAAATTTCTTTTATTTTCATTTCTCAAGTACTTTCGATCTTCATCCACGATCATCTTCAGGAGTACAAGTAGTACAAAACTATATGTTCTTCATTAGTACAAGTATTTATACAAAGTGCATTGTTACCCATTACCATAATATTTGATTATGCCTTTAAATGCAAAGAAAAACAGCCACAAAAAGTACTAACATCACACAAACTGAGATAGACACCAATCACAGTGAAGATAATGCTGAAGGTTTAGACGAGCAGAGAAGGCATGATTTTACTTGGTTTCAAGCCTGCAATAAAACGAGTCTAAAACACATTGGATCGAATTATTTTACGAAAAACATGAATAATATACAAAAGTCAAAGGCAACCGTCATGAGTCATATTAGTCAGACACGAAAATACTGAAATGGAAGACACGAAAATACTGAAATGGAAGACACAAAAATACTGAAATGGAAGAACGAAAACTACTCCCAAAATGACATCCAACAAAGCAGAATCCCCAAAGTATTAAATTCTACAATGTAACATTCTAATTAATTCTGAAGGACCCACATATAAGTTTCAACGAAGCAATATATACATCAGCAATAGCAGCAACAATCAAAATTAAACATGAAAGTAAAAAAGGCAATCCACATTGGAAAAGAAAAATAGTGAAAGGAATTGAACTTAGAAGTGAATTATCAATACTCGATGAATTGCCAAGAGGAACAAAAATAAGGACTAAAAAAAAGGCAGAAAATTTAAAGGAAAATACAAACTTATGAAGGAAAATGAAGTCCTATCAGCTAAAGAAAAATAAAGTAAACAATAGAACTGAAGGTTCAAAGAATCAGACGATATGAAAAAAGATCAAGATTCATCGGTTTGAAAGATCCAAGATCTTTCACACCGATGTGAAGAAATTTTACAAAGAAATAGACAAACGAAAAATTGAAGTGACACCTCCCCAAACAATGAAAGAGGTTATACAGTTCTGGGAAAAAAATATAGACCTGCCTTAAAGGAGCAGATTGGATTATGCAAGAGGTAGAATGGATGAAGAATAATCCAGAACAAACATGGGCGGGAATCATAGAAGAGTATGTTAAATGTGCACTGAAAAAAGGCCCATAAATAAAAATCTCCAAGAATAGATAAAATTCCTAACTTTTAGATCGATTATCTAAATACAGAACACAAAAAAACTAACCAAAAAAACATTAAGAAATGGTCAATGATTCTACTAAAATTGCAGTATGAGAAACCAAAACATAATTACCTTCCTTCTACCCAAGAAGAATGGTATACACAAAGTCAAGGAAGAAATCATGAGGCATATCAGTCAGACACAAAAATATTGAAAGGAGGAACTCCCAAAATTACAACCAACAAAGCAGAACCTGAAAACTATTAAATTCTACAATGCAAAATTCAAATTAATTCTGGATGACGTGAACCCACATATAAGTTTCATCAAAGCAATAAATGAAACAGCTATAGTAGCAACTAAAGAATTAAATATCAAAGTAAAAAAAAAATCTTGGAAAAGAAAATATTGAAAGAATTTAAAGAACTTGGAAGTGAATTATCAGTACTCGATGAATTTGCAAGAGGAACAAATGTAAGGACTAGAAAATGAAGAGAAAAAATTAGGTATGAAAATGAAGTCCTATCGGATAAAGATAAAAATAAAGCAAACACTAGAACTGAAGGCTCAAAGAATCAGGCGCTATGAAAAAAAGATGAAGATTCTACAGACAGAAAAAGATATTTCAAACCAAAACGAAGAAATTTTACAAAGAAATTGAAGTGACACTCCCCACCTCGAACAACGGAAGAGGTTATACACTTCTGGGAAAAAAAATATAGGCTTGCCCTAAAGAACATAACAAAGAAGCAGAATGGATTACGCAAAAGGTAGAATGGATGAAGAATAATCCAGAACAGACATGGGCGGGAATCACTGAAGAGGATGCTGAATGTGCGCTGAAAAAAGCCGACAAGTGTAAATCTCCAGGAATAGATAAAATTCCTAACTTTTAGATCTATTATCTAAATACAGAACACAAAAAAATAACAAAAGAACATTAAGAAATGGTCAATGATTCTACTAAAATTGCAGTATGAGAAACCAAAACATAATTAACTTCCTTCTACACAAGAATAATTACCTCCCTTCTACCAAAAAATAATTACCTTCATCATAGCCAAGAATAATTACCACACTCTACCCCTGTACCCAAAAATAATTACCTTCCTTCTGCCTAAAATAATTACCTCCATCGTACTAGAAATTACCTCCCTTGTACCCAAAAAATAATTACCTTCCTTCTACCTAAAATAATTAGCTTCATTGTACTTACAAATTACCCCCCTGATAGCCAAAAATAATTAAATTCCTTCTACACAAGAATAATTACCTCCCTTCTACTCAAAGATAATTTCCTTCCGTCTACACAAGAATAATTACCCCCGCCACAGTTAAAGAATGAAAAATAATTACCTCTCCCTGGTAACAAAAAAAGAATAATTACCTTTATTTTACCACACAAAATAATTACCTCCCTCTGTTCCCACCAAAATTACCTTCATTTTACACAAGAATAATTACCTATCTTCTAACCAAAAAATAATTACCTCCATTCTACCTAAGATTAATTACCTTCATTCTACCAAAAATAATTACCTTCCTTCTGTCCAAAATAATTACCTTCATTCTATTGGAAAAAATTACCTTCCTTCTACCCTAAAATCATTACGTTTCTTCTACACAAGAATAATTACCTCCCTTCTACCCAAAAATAATTACCTTCCTTCTACCCAAAAGTAATGACACAAATGTGTCAAAAAACTACAGACCAATTATACGTCTTCCCATTATTTACAAACTGTTGACATTTATTTTGACAAAACATATATTACTTCTTAGAAAAAATGACATACTGTTACTTGAACAAAATTGGTTCAAACCTTGCTCTTACCGATGCAAAGATCAATTACTTATTAATAGGAATAAAAACTGCTACAGTACAAATAAAAATCTCACTACTGCTGGATATATTATCGTGAGGCATTCAATAATGTACCCCATTCCTCGATCTTAACGTCTTTAAATATATACAAGTTATAACACTCATCAATTTCATCAAACAAAGTATGTCGCTATACAAAACAACACTTGAACTCAGTAAAATAAAGAGAGTGTATGAGTCCGGTGAAATAAACATCAACAGAGGAATATTTCAAGGTGACTCTTCATCTCCCTTACTATTTTGTATATCTCGAATAACTAACGACCGTAACGGGAGGGAATATGGCTATAAAAGATCTCAAATGAAAATAAGCCATCTATTTTACATGGATGACTTAAAGCTGTATGCAATGAATGACAGTTGGAAGGTCTCCTGAAAACAGTAAAATGTTTTATTGATGACAATGGAATGGGATTTGGTTTGGATAAATGTTCTAAAGCCACAATTTTACGAGGATCACTACAGGAAATCGCCTCTATTAGCTTAGACCCTGTGGTCACAATCAAAGATTTAAAGAAAAATGAAGCTTGTAAGTATCTCGGTATTAAAAAAGTGAAGGAATTCACGATAAAAAAGAAAGAAGTAGTGTGAAAAGGATACTATAGAAGGGTACGATTGATATTAAAAACTGAACTGAATTCTAAGAACAGAATTATGTCCATTAATAGCTTTGCCATCCGAGTGGTTCAATATAGTTTCAACATCTTGAACTGGACTCAAATGATAGCCTAATGGATTCTAAGTCATGAAAGCTTCTTTCTAAGCATCTAAAGACTGATGTAGATAATCTATACATATCTCATAAAGGTGGAAGAGGCCTTATTTCGCTAGAATTGACATACAAGACAACAACTATTGGCTTACTAAGATACATGGAAACAACAAAGACTGGATGGTACAATTACTCAAACAACACGAAAACAGAAAGAAAAATATACAATCATGAAAGAAGGTTGAAAATACAAACGAGATTAACATTTAGTCGATTCTGTAGAAAACCAAAATGATGCAGCAAAAATTAGGAAAAAGGAACCCAAGGACAAAGCTCTTGTACAGATAAATCAACATTGGAAAAACAAAACTCCAATATCCACAACCTGCTAATAAAGCCGATGTTAACACTCGTCGATTGCTGCAAGCATTTGAATTAAAGACCGAAAAGGAAGTCAGCACAAGATAAGAGCCTTTTCACTAGAAACTTTTAGGCAAATATCATACATAATACTATGGCTTTAAAATACTGGTTCTATGACAAATATCAGGAACTCAGAGACCCTCTAATCTCAGGATGCTCTATACTTGCACCAAATGAATATAAAAATCATCAATATAGAGTGGGACAATACTTACACTGGACAATGTGCAAATACTTTGGAAAAGATGTTAATAAACACGATATGAACATCACGCAGCATTGGTTGCAGAAATAGAAGATATCACAATTCTATAGGATTACACAGACTGGAAGAGTGAAGCAAATCGGCCGGACATAATTATCAAAATCCGAAAAGAAAATCTTGCCTACTAATTGATATGACTTGCCCAACGGACTGTAAGATAGCAACCAAGGAATTTGAAAAATTATCGAAGTATAAAAATCTGGAAATCGAAATAGAAAAAAGACGTGGAATTTGAAAACAAGAATAGTACCAATAATAGTAGGTGCGCTTGGAATGATAAAAAAGGAACACAACAACACATTGAAAAAATCCCTGGAAACCCAAGCTTAAGAGCAATACAAAAATGGTCTTGATAAGTACAGCCCATAGACTAAGAAGAACTTAGTCCATGTAACGTTGATGATGTTATGGGAGTTGCAAAAACAAATTATGAAATGTAACCATAACAAGACACAACTACCTGCCTTAGGTCTTCCCGCAGACTTGGCGGATATTGTGACCATAGAAAGAAATCAAAACATAATAATAATAATTTTTATAATAATAATAATAATAAGCGCACCGTACTAAATAAGCACTACCGTACGATCACTGAAGTTAAGCACAGTCGAGCCTGGTCAGTAGCTAGATAGGTGACCTCTTAGGAATACCAGGTGCTGTAGGATTGGATGTGCAGGTAGTGTAAAGGATGACGCCTCGGAATTTGTTAATCGGAGAGCCGAGTTCCAATTTCAGTTGGCTTCGTTATGTTCACGCATGCGTAAATAAACCCCTGAAATGTATGAATCCGCCTCTTCTCCCTCCAGCTATGGGTTAATTATTAAGATTTGTATCAGTAAATTATTATTATTATCTCAAAACCAAAAAATTCTTACAGTCTAAGCATATTTTTGTCTTTAAATAACCTGCAAAGTGTTGATAAGCTGTAAAAAGCGAATCAATCTTCTTTTCGTTTTACTTCTGAGTCCACATACTTTATTTTGTTAAGATTATGGCCCCTATTTTTTTAAAGGTTACATAAATCTGACGATGAAAACTTGTCTTGCTATTATTCCCCTTTCTATAAAATATTCAATTTTGAACTGATCAATTTTCAACATTGGGGGATACATTTAAAATTCGCTTAACTAACATTAGCTACTAATGAGAATGTATTTCGTTAGAAATTTAGTCCAAATATACAGCAATTCCTGACTATATAACTCAATCTAACAAGATCATATTAAAAAAAATAATTGCTTAACACTTAATGCGGGCCGGTGTACGTGTTGTGACATAAACATGTGTGTCTCTTGAAATGCCCACAACAAAAATGGCGGACTCGGCATGTGAGTCCGCGTAAAGAAATGTAAAGAAACAACAAGAACCGATATATATATATATATATATATATATATATATATATATATATATATATATATATATATATACTAGCAGTAGTGCCTGGCGTTTCCCGGGGATGTAACAGTAAGAGATAGATCAAGTGTCGACCATCATAAAGATTGAAAAATAAAATTGACAAAGATTATTGTTTAAGGTTGACGGACACGCATGTCTCAATTAGTTTTTATTTGTTTTGTTTTTTTACGAATTAGTCAAACCCAAACTGAAACAAAAACAGTGTTTTCAATCGTTATCAGTCTATCAATTGAATAGAATTTTATTATAAACAATTGTCTTGTAAATGGAATTTTTAAAGCATTCTGAATGTAAAAATAAACAAAAAAAAACTGTGCAAGACAATAAGAAACACTACCTGCCAAAAAGAAAAAAAGTGAAGTTTTGTTGAAATCGGTTGAAAAATGTAGGAAACACACACAAACAACCTGGGTTTTATAAGTATAACTCGATATGAGTTGTCCCCCTTTCATTCTCGCGTCAGCGATGCCTCTTAATCGTGTTTTCAAATTCATTTCGTGCAAAAACAATTGTGTTTTTGAATTTTTGGCACTGTTAGAACCACTGCAAGGTAATTTTACGTAGTCCTGTGAAGTTTTGTTGAAATCGGTTGAAAAATGTAGGAAATCCGATCCAATATATAAATGTACAGACACACACACACACGCACACACACAACCTGGGTTTTATAATAAGTATGATATATATATATATATATATATATATATATATATATATATATACAAACAAATAATAATGTGTTAACGAACAAAGAATTACAAGTAGCAAAGACAATAATGTGTTTAAGAAATGAATGTGGACAATTTTTGCTCTAAAGTATGTGCAGTGAGTGAATGTGCGTACGTACGTGCGTGTGTGTGTATTGTTCATGCGAGTCCCAAGAAGGAAATGCGTTATCATCAGGTTCTTCCGCGAGAAGTTTGCATCTGGATACAAAAACTAAGATGTGGCTGCAAATAATTATCGCGGAGTATTCATACTACCGAAAAACGTCCCCTAAGATCAGTTTCGAAAATTAACTCGATTAACCCAATTTTATTTATTTATTTATTTATTTTTTAGTAAGGGAGGTAATTCACCAATAGTCATATTGGTGGATGCGATAGTGGGCGCTATAGTCTTCTCCTTCCGAATCTTTTGTAATGCGGTAAATTTCAGGGCTATTCTGAGCCCTGGGTATGATGATTACATTATCCTTGTATTCGCCGTCACGTCAAAAGTCCTGTCATCAATTTGGATTGAAGACGCACCACATGTACTGTAGCCTCTTGAGGCTGTTTTCAATTCAGAGCTTTCCTTCTCCTAGACTGGTTGCCAACTGATTAACCCATAACCAAGACCACTAGCGTGAAGAGAACGAAACAGAATCGAGTAGGAACTGAACTCGGCATGACGAATTCACTTTTTCTCTGATAGCCGTTAACACTGTCTTCCTAACTGAGCAATGGTGGGAGGAAAAAGATTAGGATGAAATAACCTGACACACTCACGCCTATGTTAAATGAAGGATCACTTTTAACTCAGAGTACAAGAAAATGACATTTCACCTTCCTTTTTTGAGACCCTAACGCTACTAAGTTACTAATTTTTGCTATTCGTTTTTTTTTAAAATAATATAGGTTAACTTGAGGTACTAAAAAAAGAAAGTCATTTCAGTATTTAGTATCGTTGGTCTTTCACATGTGACCCGGTCCACTATTTGGTACCTCACAATGCCAACCCCGTTCGTTAAAACTTGATTAACAAATTAGAGGTTAGAAAAAAAATGTGGTTTCTTTTGCAACTAGCATATGACGTTGAAAACAACGTTTCTCGAAGTTAAGCAACGTCGATCCTTACCAATAACTAGATGGGTGACAGCTTGAGAATACCAGGTGCTGTATAGCCTGGATGTGAGGGTGCTGTAATGGATAACGGCTCAGAATAGGAACTCGGAAAACGTAGTTCCAATTCCAGTTCGGTTCGTTATATTCACTAAAGACGAAAAACCCTTCATCTTGTCCATCGTCTTATGGGTTAAATAGTAGGAGGTGTATTAGCAAATAATCATTATCTCCAAACTCATCATTACAATTAAAAAATATAAAAAAAAGTCTCTGGATTTAAATATCCTGAAAAGGGTTGATAAGCCGTAAAAAACAAATCAATTTCTTTTAAATCAATTCATAAATACCGTATATATTCGTGTATAATCCGACTTCATTTCTGATTTTTTTGCATGAATTTCAACCTCTCCAAAGAAAATTATCTGTGTATAATGCGCCTCACTATTTTTACGTAAAACCTCGCACTATACACAAGTATATACGCTAGTTGGCGCTCTTTTTACCATTGTACAGGCTGGTCCGAAAGTCTTGTCACCTCCTATAAAAAGTAATGAGAACAAGTAATACAAAGCACATGTACGGAATTCAGTTTATTCACTTACATTGATGCTGTCACACATCGAAAACGTCTGTATGAACACCATCATTTTCGAGTCAGCCATTTGAAATAGAAAATTATATTATGTAGGAGGGACAAGACTTTCGGACAACTATGCAGTTTCAAAAGCATTGTGAAATGGTTTTGAAGAAGGGGTTCAGTTTAGGATATAAATTTAATACCAAACTAGACCCTGACTTTGTGATCGAATTTTTTTTTCATTTTTGAGGCAAATTTACAGGGTGGTCCGAAAGTCTTGTCACCCGTTGCCAAAAAAATAATGAGAACAACAGAACAAGTAATACAAATCACATGTACTGGATTCAGTTTATTCCCTTTTATTGACGCTCTCGTAGATCTATGAACACCATAATCTTGGCAGAAAAAGATGCGGTGACATGTCCTGTGTGATATTTTCGAAAATGTGCTTTGTTAAAACGCTCTCCGAACGGCGTCCTTCAAATGATGGGAATTCTCGTATCGTTCATGTGAAACTTTCTCCTTGCTCTTGCTAGAATGCACACGATTATATGTCCATAGACTTGCAAGCGGCCTCTCTTCTCAACTGTAGGAGTTCGTGTCAGCGATCTGAAATAGATAATTATATTATGTAGGGGTCACAAAGCTTTTCTAGTGAAAATCTATTTTAGCGAGGGGGTTGGAGACTATTTTTGAATGCCCAGTGGTATTACATTTTAAAGTTTGATATTTGCATTATTCAAGCAAGCTTTTGAATTAAGCTGGTCTAAAATTGTCTATTAATAAGAAGAAAGTTAGATTCCTACAGTCAGACATGATTTGCTTGGCAAACCGTTCGTAAATCTTATTTATTTGCCGTAAATCGTATTTATTTACGGAGAAATTTCATGCATCAGGCCAAATCATTATCATTATGCTTGACATTATTTCCGACAGGAAATTTTCTTGCCTAACAATGAAATTTTATCTTACCCAACGCCATTATTTCCATGGCATCCACACGAAACCGGAATCCAAACTCCGGCCTGAAGTCACGTGATTCCCATTTTGCGCATGCGTGTACGCGGCCGAGGCACGTTTAATACGAAAATTGCAAATTACTATCGACGATAATGAGAGCAACTCGCCAACTTGCGTGTTTTGTGCATTTTTTTTTTTTTTTTTTTTGGGGTGATACAATTTCACTACGCGTACATCTCAAAAGAAGTAACGAACGCCTCCCCACCTGTAACAATGTTGAGAAGGCTGCATTTACGTTCGCCTCGTGGGTTAACAGATTGAGTTCACATCGACTCTCAATAGAGACGCTAAAGTATGACTGGGATTAATTCAATACATATATATATATATATATATATATATATATATATATATATATATATATATATATATATATATATATATTGAACAATAAGAAAATAAAAAATTAGAAAATAAAAAATTGATTTTGAATAAGAAAATAAAAAAAATTAATTATATTATTTAATTATTATTATTTATTATATTATTTAATTATTATTATTTAATTACTTATATGATGATTATATATATATATATATATATATATATATATGAACAGCCCAAAACAGAGAGACTGAATTGTTGAGAAACTGTGTTTTCGCTGCCAAGATCCATCCAGAATATAACAAAGCCCTCCTTCCATAGTCTATCTTTTCAAGAATCATTGATTCATTCATTTTTTACGGCTTATCCACCTTTCTGCAGGTTATTTAAAGCAAAATTAAAAATATAAAATGATGGCAGTTTTCCCATCGTACCCTGAACAATCGAATTGGCAAAATGTAACCGTAAGTTCTATGCTAACAGTTTTATTTTTCTT